AAATTGCCTAGGTACATTCAGCTCTTTATCTTTTTTCTTTTTTTGAGGAAGTTTATATCGGAAGAGAAAGATAAAACAAAGAGGAGAAAGAGAATGAACTTTACTCAACAAAATGCAACTATGTTAATGCAAATAAAAACTGAAGAATGCATATAATAGAAAGAAACCCCACCTTAATCCCAGAGGGACTCTCCATAAAGCTCAGTTTGTATGTGTTTGTTCGAAAGCTATGAAAAGAGTATCCTTGACTTGGTAATTGGGGGAGCCCAAGATTTCCTCCATCAGCACTGTAAGAAAGAAGAAGACAGAGATTGTCAAACCCTAATTCTCAAAAGCTATCTTACAAATATAAATAAAAATCAATAATGATCAAAAATTGCAAGAGACACACACTATCTACTATAATTGAGAAATAAATAAAAGCTATGCCCCCAAACAGTCACAACATTTGGCGTTAAAACCAATACACATAACAGCTAAAAAAAAGAAGCCACATTGGAATAAGAGGAAATAAATATGGTAAATTGGGCCACAAACCATTTTCCATGCATAGCCAATCCATGCTTAAATGAGAAGGATGTTAGAATTCAAATTTGATTTAGAAAAGCATTCACATGGCTACTCTATAGTTGACTGAGACCTCTTCAGCTAAGAATGTCTTAGAATTGTTTAGAAATTGCCTGGTGTAAATGGAAATTGCCTAGGTACATTCAGCTCTTTATCGTTTTTCTGTTTTAGAGGAAGTTTATATCGGAAGAGAAAGAGAAAACAAAGGGGAGAAAGAGAATGAATTTCACTCAACAAAATGCAACCATGTTAATGCAAATAAAAACTGAAAAATGCATATAATAGATAGAAACTCCACCATAATCCCAGAGGGACTCTCCATAAAGCTCAGTTTGTATGTGTTTATTCGAAAGCTATGAGAAGAGCATCCTGAACTCGGTAATGGGGGGAACCGAAGATTTCCTTATTCTTCGCTGCAAGAAATAAGATGACAGAGATTGTCAAAGCCCAATTCTCAAAATCTATCTTAAAACTATAAATAAAAATCAATAATGATAAAAAATTGCAAGAGACACACACTATCTACTATAATTGAGAAATAAATAACAGTTATGCCCCAAACAGTCACAACATTTGGCGTTAAAATCAATACACATAACAGCTAAAAAAAAAAAGCCATATTGGAATAAGAGGAAATAATATGGCAGATTGGGCCACAAACGAATAAGAAGGATGTTAGAATTCAAATTTGATTTAAAAAAGATTTAACATGGCTACTCTATAGTTGACTGAGCGCACTTCAGCTAAGCATGTCTAAGAATTGTTTAGATATTGCCTGGTGTAAATGGAAATTGCCTAGGTACATTCAGCTCTTTGTCTTTTTTCTTTTTTTGAGGAAGTTTACATCGAAAGAGACAGAGAAAACAAATAGGAGAAAGAGAATGAATTTCACTCAACAAAATGCAACCATGTTAATGCAAATAAAAAAATGAAGAACGCATATAATAGAAAGAAACTCCACCTTAATCCCAGAGGGACTCTCCATAAAGCTCAGTTTGTATGTGTTTGTTCGAAAGCTATGAAAAGAGTATCCTTGACCTGGTAATTGGGGGAACCCAAGATTTCATTCATCAGCACTGCAAGAAAGAAGAAGACAGAGATTGTCAAACCCCAATTCCGTAAAGCTATCTTGCAATTATAAATAAAAATCAATAATGATAAAAAATTGCAAGAGACACACACTATCTACTACAATTGAGAAATAAATAAAAGCTATGCCCCCAAACAGCCACCACATTTGGCGTTAAAAACAATACACATAACAGCTAAAAAAAAGAAGCCATATTGGAATATGAGCAAATAAATATGGCAAATTGGGCCACAAACAATTTTCCATGCATAGCCAATCCATGCTTAAATGAGAAGGATGTTAGAATTCAAATTTGATTTAGAAAAACATTAACATGGCTACTCCATAGTTGACTGAGGGCACTTCAGCTAAGCATGTCTAAGAATTGTTTAGATATTGCCTGGTGTAAATGGAATTTGCCTAGGTACACTTCAGCTAAGCATGTCTAAGAATTGTTTAGATATTGCTGGTGTAAATGGAAATTGCCTAGGTAAATTCAGCTCTTTATCTTTTTTCTTTTTTTGAGGAAGTTTATATCGGAAGAGAAAGAGAAAAACAAAGACGAAAAAGAGAATGAATTTTACTCAACAAAAAGCAACCATGTTAATGCAAATAAAAAATGAAGAATGCATATAATAGAAAGAAACTCCACCGTAGTCCTAGAGGAACTCTCCATAAAGCTCAGTTTGTATGTGATTGTTCGAAAGCTATGAATAGAGCATCCTTGACCTGGTAATTGGGGGAACTAGCACTGCAAGAAAGAAGAAGACAGAGATTGTCAAACTCCAATTCTCAAAAGCTATCTTACAAATATAAATAAATATCAATAATGATAAAAAATTGCAAGAGACACACACCATCTACTATGATTGATAAATAAATAGCTACGCCCCCAAACAGTCACAACATTTGGCGTTAAAACCAATACACATAACATTACAATTAAACATGAACAAAATTACAAAAAGGAGATGTGTAAATTTGTATACCTCTCTCTCTCCAATCATATATTAATGTGCAGATAGCAAGGTTAAGTGTATCTCAATCTCTCACCATCCATGTTATCTCCTATATAAACAATTAAAGATAAATTTTATGGGCTTTTTGAGACCAAGACAGCTACATACAACTAGGTTGATCGCATCTACAGAAAATAATGGAATTTTTTCACCCTAAAAAAAAAAACTTGGAAAGGCAGAGACACCTTGGTGGTACCTAGTTGATAATCTGGATAGACATAGAGTGAAATAAGATATTATATGACTGTAAAAAATTTAACAAAATATGGTGAAGTGTTCAAATACAATATTGCATGTATGTTTTTCCATAATCCGATCCTTGAAAGACCTCAGAGAAAGACTTCCATAGAGCTGCAAATCTTGAAGATTCGGTCAAAAAAATGTTTCGAGATGGTAGGAACAGGGTACTTGATTGAGGCC